GCTATCACCATAGATTACTTTTGCCTGATCTTGAACTTTTCATGCATAAAATCCATGCAGTACTTGTTCTGTAGTGTTTAACTTTTTTCACTTAACATAAGGTTTTTGAGCTTTACGTGGTTGCTGGTATCTCCATTCTTTGTTCTGTTTTTCATTCCTGTCTCTCTGCCTTCTTGTCGTTAATTGAATATTTTTTAGCATTCTGCTTCATCCCTCTATTGGCCTTTTAGCGCTAATGATTATGATATTCATATTTAATTTACCGTGGGCTATAGTTAACCTGGTACCACTTCACCCAAAGTGTAAGAAACTTGCAACAGTATAATTGCATTTTACCTCCCTCCTTTGCGCTACTATGTTATGTTTTATCTCTACATACATTATAAAACCCACAGCGTGATTTTACCAATTTTACTTTAGACATTTGATTGTCTTTTAGTTAAACTAGAAAAAAATTAAATATATCATTTTTTGTGTATACCTAGTTTTACCATTTACTTCAAACATTTGATTGTCTTTTAGTTAAACTAGAAAAAAATTAAATATATCATTTTTTGTATATACTTAGTTGTACCATTTCTGGGACTCTCCTCTTTTTTGTCTTAAAAAGCCAACTTTCCAACTCAGTCATTTCCCTTCAGACTGAAGAATTTTCTTGTACTAAGGGTCCCCTGGCAACACATTTTCTCAGCTTCTGTTTATCTGAAAGTGTCTTTGTTTCACTTTCATGTTCAAAGAATTTTTAACTGGAAGTAATATTCTTGGTTGACAGTTATTTTCTTTCCCCCCTTTAAAGGTGCCATTCATGGTCTTCCTTGTTCTTCTCCGGTCAGCAGTAATTCTTACAGGAGTCCTCTGTGTAATGTATCCTCTCTCTCTGGATTCTTTGAAAGTTTCTCTTTACCATTGGTTTTCAGCAATTTGACGACGGTACTCCTGGCCGTGGTTCTCTCTGTATTTATTCTGCTTAGGGTTTGCTGAACTTTTAGGACCTCTAAGTTCATCTGTAAGTTTTCCACCAAATTTGGAAAAATATAAACTATTATTTATTCCAATTTTATTCTGCCCCATTCTCTCTTTCCTCTCCTTCTGGGACTCCAATTACATATTTATTATAACACTACATGATATTGTCCCAAAAGTTACTGAGGCCTTGTTCGTTATTTCAATCTTTACCCCTCTGTTCTTCAGACTGGATAATGTATGTTGATCCTTTACGTTTACCACCCTTGCTTCCGCTGTCTCCAATCTCTGTTAAGCCTATCCAGCGAATTCTTCATTTCAGATACTGTACTTTTTAATACATACATACACAGATATATAGTTTCCATTTCTCTGCTTCTTTTTCTTTTAAATCTTTGAACATAGTTATAATGGCATCTTTCTTGTCTGCTAATTCCAACATCTGATTCATTTGGGGATCACTTTCTATTTACTGATTTTTCTCTTGACTCTGAATCACATCGCGTTTCGTTCATATCTCATACATTTTAACTGTATGCTGAATACTATGAATATTACAGCATAGAGACAGTAGATCCTAGTATCTTCCTTTGAAGAGTATTGATTTTGTTCTAGCCAGCAGTTAAGTCAGTGGTGATCACTTTAAACTCATAGAGGCTTGGCCTTATGCTTTGTTAGAGCAGTTCTATTTAGGTTTTGCAATCAGATCTAAGAAAAGTCTCTTAGTTCTGTTTTTTACCCCTAACTGTATGGCAGGCACTCTGGGGTTCGATGAGAAGCTAAAAAGTGCTTGCCAAGCCCTTCAGACTTGGGACTTAAACTTAAGCTCTGCTCCCCTGCAGAGACAGCAGCTGAAATCTCTGCTCAACCTTTTCAGCTCCCAGATGCTGCTTTCCTCCAGACTCTTCCATGTGTGCAAAATCCAAAACTGTTACCCATGGATTTGAGGGACATTTGATGCCGATTCTGCAGCTGCCTCACTTTGGCTTCCTCCTTTCCAGGATTTTCCTCCTCCTTTTCCAGCTACAGCCCTGAACTTCACCATGTACTACCTCAGACCAACAAGACCGGCCTTCTCCTTGAGTTATAGCCACCATGCCCAGCAGACTGGGAAAACCCATCTAATCTTTTTTTCAAGGACCGAACCCTCGAAGCCCCTCCAATCTCTTCCTGCTTTTGGCCACTCTCCAGTGCCTTTAGCTAGGTTTTTGTTGTTGTTATCCAGTTTTTCGTTGTTTTCTTTGGGAAATTCAGTTGTCTATAAGTACTCCTGAATTTTAGTTTTAATGGTGGCTTTTTCGAGTCCTCCTTAGGTTTTTAGAATTCGTGTAGTTTCAAGAGTTTTTATTCTTTGAGTTAACAGCCTAAAGAGTTACTCTTTAAAAAGACTAGCTATAATTTTATTTCCTATTAGATACAGATAGATGAGAGAGAAATGGATTTTTCATGTCTTCACATTTGAGAGTATTATAATAGCATTATTTTAAGATTCAGGTTTAAAAAAACACTCATTTTATAAATGAAAAAATTGTATAGTACCTTTATAAAGACCAATATACTTATTCCATTGATACCCCTGGATGAAAAACAGTGTCTCCTGTTATATCCATAAGTACAAAATGAAAAAAAAAGGTTAAGGGCCATTACCTGGCTAAGAATGAAATTCTTGTTACATATTCCTTGTTGCTTTATTATTAAATGAACAAAACTTCTTTGGGAACACTTTATAAGACTTTTATATTTTCATAAAATGCAATTTAGCTTTCTCATTATTTATACCTCAGGAGTGAGTAGCTCATAACTTTTATTGCTAAAATATATTATGTCACTGTGTTTTTAAAGTCTAAAAGTATAAATCAGAAATAAAAACCCAAAATCAAGCTGGCAACTCCTAATTGCTAAGCAGAGGGCAGAATATAACAGATTCCACTCCTCTTTAATATTTTTCTCTTGAAATAATTTCCATATCGGCTGCCAACAGAGCCAGTGGAGTGCATGTGCCGCAGGCGGCTGTGTTTCTCCTTAAAAGATAATTAAAGCAGCTTACACTGTCCATGTGGTATCTTGATGAATATGCAAACAATATTTGCATATGATCTACTGGTGTTCTGGGGACCATATGATCATGTGTGGGCTGCCAGAGTCATCAGCAAGCTGGTAACTTTAATTTGTGGACTTGGTCACTGTTGTAGTTTATTTAAGAGGAGAGCTGTTGGTGTCCAGCGAGCTAAGGAAGACTTGTCACTCTTGGGCTCTCACTTCAATCCTTAATCATTTTATCCCCTTAAATGCCTTTCATGCTAAATCCCAAGTCTTGATTTCAGTCCACAGCTGACAGTTCAAAAGATAAAGGCATAGAGAGAGAAAGGGTGTGAACTGAATTTGTGTGGCTGGAGTGATACTTTTTGGGGGGCGGGGGGTGTTTTTATTTTGCTTTGAGGTTGGGGGAGAAAACACCAGTTATTAAAAACAGAGAGGATGGGCAGATAGTGAGGTATCAGCCCGTTGACATTGGGTACCAGATGCGACTACCATTGATTGTGCTGCCATCTATCACAAGCATTAGACTGCTTTGAAAAGGGATCGTGTCATCCTGTGTGTCACTGTTTATACTAGAGAAGGAATAGAAATGACCTCATGTGTATCATAGGGGATGGATTTAATAACTTACAGTATAGTCAGGTTGTGGAATACCGTGCAGCCATTAAAAAATGTTTTCATAAAAGGATAATTGCATGGAAATAATGGGAAGACATTGATGCTACATTAGTTATTAATTATTTTTTAAAACTTTAAGTACGTACAGTATGATGATAATTCAGTGAAACCAAAAGAAAATTATATATACATCAGGAAAAAAGACTAAATTGAACATCAAAATATTAAGAGTATAACAGCTCTCTCTGGGACTTTCCAATTCTATGTTTTATTACGCAGATTTAATTCTATTATTATAAGAAAGAGGTTACTAAAATAAAAAAGGAAATTAAAGCAAGTTTCAATTTTTAGGAGAAGCATCACAAAGAGCCAGAAGGTAAAAATATAGGTGCCCCACAAATGTCCATGGTCAACGTGGCCATATACACACAGACACACACACACGCACGCACATCCCTACATGCCTAGTCAGGGCCAGGATACAAAACTATAAGGGAGAAATGGGTAGAGAATGTTGGTGAATAAAAATAAATATTTTACAATATAATAGAATTTAGAAGCACTTTACTACCCGCCCCCCCAAAAAAAAACCTAATCATACTTCATTTATGTTTACAACTTCCTAAATTTGGAGTTAAGAATATAAAAGAGGGTCTCCAGAGCTTTTAAGAAGTGAGGTGGCTTGCCCAAAGACACAGATCCAGCCAGAGAGAATGCCAAGGAAGAAAACACGAACAGATCTGTTTTGGGTCCCCAGTCGCGAGCCACACGTGGTCTCAGGATCTGAGGTGCAGCACATGTTGGCAGCAGGTGGGGCATAAAAAGACTGTGGAAGCCCAAGACATCAGACGAAACAAACCGCGACAGATCTGGTCGGTGACTGCTCCGAGGAACATAGACCAGAACTAGAGCAGAATGTCACTGTGCGGGGGTGCCGAGAAACATTTTTATTCATACAAAAAATGTGCAGGCAGGTCAAGTAAATGGGCCATCAGGACAATGGAAACAGATAAAGAGTTAGAGGAAGTCAGAGAAAGGTGAGATATTACCCCTGCGGGAGTCAGGGAGAGACCCTTAGGGACAGCGACTTTGCCTTGCAGGATGGATCAAGAGAGGAGGAGAAGGAAGGAAATACACCAGACAAGAGACAGAAACCCAGAAGGAAAGGACAGGAGGTCACGATTAAGCCATTTCTCCAGAACTCGGAGTGCCTAGGAGAGCAGAGAGGGAAGGAACCACATCATGTAGCCATTCAAATGTCAAGTTTAGGAGATTGAACTTCAGGCAGTGGAGAACGCTGAGGGGGGTTCCATAAGTGAGGGACAATGCCAAGGCCATGCAGTGACATTAATCTAGTAGCACTTTGTGAAAGGTGGGAACAGTAACACACAGAAGCAGGCGTATCATTCAGGAGGTAAAAGTGTTAGGAGGTCTTATAATTCAATAATTAGAAAACAAACCACCTAATCCAAGGGGGAAAGATGTGGCCAGGTATTTTATCAGAGAAACTATACAAATGGCTAACAAGCCCAGGAAACAATGCTCAACATCGTTAAACATTATGGAAATGAAAAACCACAATGAGATACGGCTTCATATCCGCTGGACCAACCATAAGGAAAAGGACAGACAACAACTATTGGTGAGGATGTGGAGAAATGGGACCCCTTAAATGCTGCCGGTGGGAATGTAAAATGATGTGATCACTTCGAAAAACAGTCTGGCAATTTCTCAAAAAGTCAAATTTAAAATTATTGCACTCCCCATCAATTCCACTCCTAAGTATCTACTCAAGAGAAATAAAAACATATTTATTTTTAAATGTATTTTGTGTACAAGTTCACACAAAGACTTGTACACAAAAGTTCATCGCAGCATTATTCATAATAGCCAAAGGTAGAAACAAACTACAAGTCCACCAGCTGGTGAAGGAATAGACAATAGATGCATCTATGCAATGGGATATTACTTAGCAACGAAGAGGAAGGAAGTACTGGTACCCGCTGCAGTGTGGATGAGCCTCGAGAACATTAGGCCAAGTGAAAGAAACCAGACGTGAGAAACCACATACTGAATGATTTTTTTATATGAAATGTTCAGAAAAGGCAAATCTAAAGATGCGGCCAGCAGAGTAGCAGTTGCCCGGGGCTGAGGGTTAGAGCAGGGATTAACCGTGGGCTTAAGGGATCTTACTGGGGAGAGGAAAATGTTCTGAAACTGATTTATGGTGATGGCTGCACCACTCAGTAAATTTACAAAAAAAAAACAACAACAACAAACAAACTACTGGAGTAAACTACACATATTTTTATGTGCAAAATATGTCTAAATAAAGCTGTTTTTTTGTTTGTTTGTTTTTTGGTTTTTGGGGTTTTTTTACACCTACAGCAAGCACCTGGTCTTCCTAGGTGGTCTCCCATCCAAGTCCTAACCAGGCCAGACACTGTTTAGCTTCTGAGATCAGACCGGATACGGGGGCGTTGGGGGTGGCATGGCTGTAGACAACGCTGGTTTTTAAAAAATGATGGGAGAGATAAAAGAGGGGACAGGGCCGAAGGATCAGTCTCAGAACCTTCGGTGCTGTCAGCTAGGCTTGGAGAGTAAACACGTGTGAGAAAGAAACTGGAAGAGTCGAGGATGGTTTTTCAGGCATATGAGTTGAACAAGAAAAAAAAAACGGAAATAGCTTTTTCAACAGGGAAAACAGGAGGAAGATGATATGTTTGATTTTGAAAAGATACAGCCACAATAACGCAATTGTTTTTTTTCCCACAGAAGCGAAGTTCCCAGAGAGGGTAACCCTGAGTGCCTACGTCAGGAGCTCTGGCGCCTCCAGCTGGAATCCCAGGGGTCCCATCTTCGCGTCGACCAGAGGGAACCCCGACACTGGGAGGAATTTCAAAAACGCTGGCTGGCTGCTGGTAGGAATAGGAGAGTCAAAAACAAAAACAAAACGGAGAACACGTCCTGAGGGAAAACGTGATGTTAGCGTGTCCGTAAGGAACTGCCCGCACGAGGGGGCCGAGGCTGAGAGCAGGAAGAGGGCTGTCTCCACCGCGGTGACGTGAGCGTCAGCAGGTGCAGGAGTGACCGGAGCCGGCGCCGGGAGTGAGAGCCACCAGTCAGCCACAGCGTGTGATGGGCAGAGACGCACGCTTGGCCACGGGAAGAGCTTCCGCGCCCGTGGTGGACAGGCAGCCACGCGAGGACCCTGTTGGAGCGCCACCTGCAGGAAGTGTGGGATTCCAGGAGTTAGTTCCTCCAGCGAGGGCTCAGAATCAAGACCACTTTTTCTACCCAGTGCTGTCGTTGCCACCCCCTCGATCTCTGCAACCACACAAGATCTGCCATAGCATCACCCAAAGATGTCCTCCCAGTTCCACACTTTCACTGGAAAACCAGTAGTTCTGATCTACCCACATTGGGCCCATTCAACCCATGAATTGGAAAGCAAGGTGGATGGATGGATGGATGGATGGATGGATGGATGGATGGATGGATGGATGGACCGACGGACGGACGGGCAGGTGGGTATGTGGGTGTGTGGGTAGAAGGACGGACAAACAGACAGATGGACGGATGGGAAACATGACCTTAAAAAAAAGAGGAATCAAGTGAGATTAACTGGACAAAAGGTGCAGCCAGGCAGGAGAACTGTGGCAGCTCACACTGCTTTTTATAAAAAGGCCGCAACTGAGATCAAGCTGTGATCCTTCTTGTTAGTTTTCTAATATAAAAAAAAAAAATGTACAAGATTTCAATTTAAAGCCTCATTTAAAACCAACAATATAGATAAGTGTCAGAGAATTCAGGAGTTATGGTTTCCACAGCAACGTTCACGTGGCCATCCAACTACTATTAAATAAATGAAATTAGGCATTTATATTGCCCTTGACATTCAGCCATATGCTAAGCAATCACTCTATTGGTTTATAATTCCTTGCAGCCACCTATGAGGGAAGCAGCCCTCTTGCTCCCACATTAAGGGTGAGGAAATCAAGCCCCAGGATGTGCCCAGAGAACCCCCTCCCCCTTGCTAGGCGTACCTAGCTGGCTAATCTGACTCTCCAAGGAACAGCAGGCAGCAGGGCAAAAAATGTCACTCACAGGTTGCACAGAGTGCACCAAGAAAATGAATCATTGCTAAATGCCTACTATGCACTGGGTCCTGCTCGTGAGTTTTTTTGAAACCCCTGCCAATGAGGACTGATTCACGGGCACCTGAAGAAGCAATCGTCAAAACCAGAGGCCTCTGTTTTGATTGAAAGAGAACGGGCAAAGATGGGACACAGAGAAATACTACATGGCCTCAGTTCAACTAGCCTCTCTATGACTAACTCCACGACCTGCCCAGAACCACAAACACGTAGAAAGAGAAAGAAAAAAATTCTTCCAGTGAGAAGGACACTTAGAAGAACGAGGAGCAGGAACCACTCAGGTCTCAGGGAAGAGAAGCCAGGTCCAGCACACACAGTTATAGTTTCATGTGTTTGAGAGATGAACGGACCCACCAGGGATGATAGGTATTTGTTTCAGTAAAAGCTTCTACTGCAGCAAATCTTAGCAAATCTCATCTCTCAGATGAACACAAGCTCGCAAATCGACAGCACGAGCCGAGGCCCCAAGTTGTGGGCCTCGGGTCCCAAGGTGGAGAAGCCTGAGACTCGTGTTGGCTCTGGCCTTAACTGTCATCTTGAAAAATGATCTTTAAGGGGGAAACAGCAACAAGTGAAACGCAGGGACAAGCTAAATTGAGAGGCGTCGCCAACACTCCTGAAGAAAGGAAAATAATGTGTGAAAATGCAGAGTCTCAGAAGTGCGAGAAAATAAAAAACACAAAGGCAAGCCAAAAACATCAAACTTCCTGCATCGAGGAGATGGAGTTGGAACTCCAGACTCTGCATGGTAGACATTGAGAAAGCAGTTTTCCCTAAAAGACAAGTGAAAGATAATAAGCTCCAAATTAATATAAGCTTTTTGCTAGAGCAGAGCAGGCCCACTTCCTGCAGGAATTTTTTCCCAGGTACCCCAGTTTACCCATAGCGTTCTCTACCATCTCTGACACTGCATTCCTACTTTCTCGATACCCCCAATTACGGAGCGTTACGCAGATAGCTGTGTCACGGTATGGCTGCGCCTGAGCTGTCCGTGTTTCTGTTGTCATTGGCCCTCTTTTCTCTGTGACTTGATCACCCCTCCAGAGTTCTACAGCCACCGCGTGAGGCCAAGGTGCAAAATGATTTCATCCATTCGATGGTTCAAAATTATGTGTGCAGTGCCCGTTAGACTGTGAGCCCCTTGAAGCCGGCAGCCACGTCCTTAATCTTTATGTCCCTAACACTCAGCACTGAGTATGGCTCTTATGACGTGTTTTTGTGGAAATGAATGTGTATCATTATTCAGATGCTTTGCTTTTCGTGTAAAATAGCTCCCTTGAAACTTAATCTCAAACACTGCATTCTGTTCGGAACGTCTTCTAGCCCAAAAGACAAGTGTAGTGAATGACACAGGTAATTAAGGAACCCAGGAGAGACTGTCCAACAGTGAAGATCGAAGGACTAGGGTATGGACAAAGCCTAAAAGTAACGATGCTAAAAGAAGATTGTTTTCAGTAAGTCCATGTCTAGGGGTGAGAGCAAAGAAGAAACACATCTGTTCTAGGAGATTAAAATTAGGAGTGATGAATTTAGAGTTAAAAAAGTGTAGGCAAGCTTTCAAGGTAAAACTCATGCCTGCAAAATCTAGCAGAATGATAACCGTCTTCCTTACCTACCGGATGCTATCTGCCATTTCAGTTACCCTCAGTCAACCATGGTCCGAAACTATTAAATGGAAAATTTCGGAAATAAACAATCCGTGTTTAAATTGAGCACTGTTCTGCGTAGTGTGATCTCATCCTGCTCTGTCCCGCGTGAGACATGAGCCAACTCTGTGTCCAGCATCTGCATTTTGCTTCGTCCATCAGATAGGTACCGTATCATCTCGGATCATCGAGAAGAGTGAGTACAGTATAATAGGATATTTTGAGAGAGAGAGTACGTTCACATAACTTTTATTATAGCATATTGTTATAATTGTTCTATTTTATTATTAGTTATTGTTATTAATCTCTTACTATGTCTAACTTATGAATTAAACTTTATCATAGGTATGTATGTCTAGGAAAAAAGATAGTATATATAGGGTACTGTACGACTTGCAGTTTCAGGTATCCACTGGGGGTCTTGGAACATATCCCCCTCGGATCGGGGGGTATGACCGTATTTCACTTATGCTGATGAGAAGCCCGCAAACAAAAGAATGCTACACGATATTCCCAACATGACAAATGAAGTTAAAATGGCAAGGAGAGGATTAAAATTCCAAATCGCAAACCACGATTCTCTACTTACCTCTTTGCTTTGACGAGCAGGTGACACTGCTGTTCCAGGATTCTCTGACCCAGAGACAGTGGTTCCTGAGATCTGCTCCGGTGAGAAACCAAGCACCACTCAGAGAGTTGGAGAACTCAGGTTTATTACACCTGCAGTCCCAGAAGAGCTAGTGCTCTGCAGCTCCGGGCCCCGAGCTCAGGGGTAACCTTACTTTTACAAGGCCTATCCGCGCAGTTACAGTTGGCATGAGCTGATTGGCTAATTTGTCCTCAGGCAGTTACAGAGCACGGGAGTTGCTATGGGCTACGAGCAATTACAGAGAACAAGCAAAGGGGATACGTCTGTTATCTAGACAGAACAAGCAAATGCAATACATCTGTTAACAGCAAAGGGGAGGGTGAGCCTTCAGTTGATCTCAAGGTCACCCTGCCCTTCATCCTATGCAGCAAGCATGTCTACAGAAGCAGAACAAAGAGGTGATTACAAGGTTAGCCATTTGCGTAGAAAATTCCTCTTCAGTGTTTATGCTTCTTGGGGGCAGCATATGTAATAGTTAAGACCTCGGCTCCAAAGTCAGATAACCTGGGTTGAAATTTAGCCCCTCAGCTTTCTAGCTGTGCAACTCTGGGCAAGTTACTTACCCTCCATTTCCTCTTTCTTCATCTATGAAATGAGGATGAATAATAACTCTTCTCCCATGGACTAAATTAGGTAACTTACATGAGAAGCTCAGCACAGTGCTTGACAGGGTTCTATCAATTGGAGCTTATAATTATTACCTTGATCATTTGAGGCAGAACATTCCTGCGATGTGGGACGACAGTGTCTGACAGACTCCAGTCCTTGAAATCACTCAGTCTGCACCACTGATCTCTTTCTCGGAGAAATTCTTCCACTGGAAGGGTATAACTGGCAGAAGGGTATAAATTCAAGAAGAGAAAAGAGGGTGGACATTTTCTGCTTCTGATGGAATTTCGGCCCCATTGTGTGTGTGTGTGTGTGTGTGTAGAGAGAGAGAGAGGTCATTCAGAAGCTTAAATTTCCAACAAATTATTAGCATATGTAGCTCCCTCTTATAAATTACTCTGCTAACAGAACATCTTTTAAAATTACTAACAGATTACAGCTTTTATTTTTAAAAGAAAATACTTTTGTTCTACTGTAAACCTTAATAACTCAAAACTACTATTGTGACTTTTTTTTTTCATTTTTGTCCGCGACATGGCTAAACTGTGAATATAATTAATTCTTAAAATTCTTGACGCAATGGGAGTTGTGGTGTTGCTCCTTGTGGTCATGACGCATAGGTAGGCTTTCTTCCACTACAAATGCTCTGTCGCCCTATCCCTGCCTCACATAAACCTGTCCCTTTTCCTAGTTTTTTTTTTACTTTATTTCATTATTTTATCATTCTCTGAAGTGCCAGCCTCAAAGCTCCCAATATCTTTTTGATTTCTCATTTTCTCTTCCTCCGAAAATGTAGTCGGAGATCTGATGATTCTAACTAATATGCCTGTTAGGCTGCCCAAACTTTATTACCTTGTCTAAATCACTATCTCTCAAAGGCATATAATATGCTGACTCCTTTCACAGGGAAAAAAGTTAATCTTGAATTCTTAAATTGTATGTCGACTAAGAAATACTGACTTGAGAAGTTTAAGCTCAGTCTTGTGAAAATCCCTCCATCGAGTACTCTCTTCACAAGAGTTTTGCCTTCGTAGCTGATAAAGTATATTCTTAGATGATCTTTTAAATAAAAATACAAAATTCAAGCATTTGTTTGGACCATGTGGGCCCTGAGACAACATCCCTTGAGTCCAGTTTGAGAAAATAGTTCTAGACCATCGTCGTGGCATCCTAACTAACCCATCCCTAAGAACCAGCGTTTGCTTAATCCACTCAGGATTTTGTTTCCACATGATCATTTTCAACCACATCTTACCATGTCATTCTCTTACTCGAAGGAGTTGATTTCTTATTGCCCCAAAAAGGAGTCATGAGCTCCTTGACATGGCTGTCAGGATCTGCCATGATCTGACTCAAGGTGTCATTTCTCTGCCTATGCACCAGCCATGACATACTCTCCTCGTTTCTTTTTTTTTTTTTAATCTTAAGAAAACAAATAATCATATGACAAACAAAAGGAGAGTCGTGATTGCTGTATGAACATAACATGTTATTGTTATTGTTTAGTTCATAGGCCATTCTTGAGGGCTGTTGACAGTAAACCCCGATTTGGAAATCACATTTGTAGAGGGTCTGATAAATATAACACTGGACTTCGATTTCTTCATCTTCTATTAGATCAGTTTATTCTAAAGAAGTCTTTCAGATCTTAAGTCTAATCATTCTATGACAGTAATTACAGATAAAAAAATATATGGTGTAAATAGAGGACCCGCTGATAATATAATTAAAGTATTTTAGCCAGCAGTACATAATGAGCCCCACACAAATTTAGACTTAAGTGATGTATCTCTAGAACAATAAATAGGAACAGCTTCATTAGGTCACATTAGTTTGAGAAAATTTCAACAACCCAATTCATAGGCTGGGGGTTCTTGAAGTGAGGACCCCCAACTAGCACCATCTTCAAGGGACTTGTTAAAAAAGCAATTCCCATCTAAAGGTCCCTGGTTCAATCCTGAGTTTTGGCACCAAAAATAGTAATAATAATAACAATCATAATCATAATCATAATAATAAGCTGGGGCAGAACCTAGAGTTCTGTGCTGTAATAAGCCTCCCAAGTGTTACTATTCTTAGATTCTACAATTCGAGAACTGCTGCCATGAGCAGTAAACATGGAGTGGCCCCATTTCTTACTCTTGGATGCTTCCCTTTCATTACAGGAGCTGGAAACTGGGAACCGTACTTCCTAGAATACCAATCAGAAGAATTCCAGGTTAACTGTGCCAACGAGAGATACTCAAGCAACATCGAGAAGATAGAGGAGACACAAGTCATCCTACTGTCCCCTTCAGGAGCTGGCAGACATGGTGAACGTGAGTTTTGTTAGGGCCTCGGTGCTGCAGGCGAATGAGGCACTGGCAGTGGGTCTTGCAGGTTCTGAAACTTCCCGGTTTTCTGTAAGCTACTGATGGGCTCGAGAGCCCGGGATGGCTTTCTCTCACCTTTGACCTTTACCCTTCCACTGTGATTTTACACAACCGCCCTTGTGATTTTACGAGCCCTTAATTCCTCGTGTTAAATCTCTTCTTGCTTTAAATAGCTAGAGTGGCTTCCGTTTTCCTAACTGATTCATTGCCTAAGAAGTGAGATGTCTCAACACCCTAATTCACTCACTAATTATTTATTGAGGGCCGGAGACAAGCAAGGCACGGGATGGCACTGTTCTGAGTGTTAGAAATACAGCAGAAAAAGAAAAAGATCCGCCCTCCTGAAACTCACTTTTGGTGGAGTTAAACGACAATTCTGGAGGCTGGGAGCCAGAGCTCAGGGTGCCAGCAAGATCAGGTCCTGGCGAGATCTCTCTTCCACACTGCAGACGGCTGACTCTCCTGTGTCCTCGCACGGTGGGAGGGTCGAGGGAGCTCTCTGGCCTCTTCTTACGAGGGCGCTAATCCTGTCCATGAGGGCCCCACCCTCGTGACCTAATCACCCCCAGAGGCCCCACTTCATCACATAATACCATCATATTGTTAGCCTTCAACATGTGAATGAAGGGGACACAAACATTCAGTCCGTAATAGTCCCCTTTCTGATTTCTTTCTGTCGCTTTCTGGTTTGGGTGCCACTTGTCCCAACCTCCCTCCGCCATGCCAGTGGGACCTCCGGACCACCCTCCCGGAAGCCCCCGAGATGAACGCTGGATTTAGACTGCACATTTCACCATGTGAGAGCTGAAACCTCTCATTTGGAGCAGAAGCCAAGGCAATTAAGCAAATAGCTACATATCATGTCATTACAGAATCTTACCCATTTCCACCCTATTGCCTCCTCTCCTGTCTTTCTTTTAGGTCATCATCCCTCCTGATACCCAGTAATTTCCATCATTTTCTATGTGCATTTCTGTTGGTCTTCTGAGAATTCTCATTTTCCAAAGTAGAAAGGCCACACGGCCTGTCACCAGCCCGGGAAGTACAGGGAGTGATATGCTGGGGAGATCAGAGCGTGCCAGGGATGGAGGCGGGAAGGTGTTACCCCTTTTTGTACTGACCCTCGGCAGGAGAGAATAAGCAGAGGAGACAGACCCTGGGAGACAGAAGACATTTCTAATCACCTCCTTCCCAGGCTGCCGCTCCTCCGTGGACTGTGTTATTCCTGCCCTCCCCAGACTACGAGTTTTCTCACTGATCCAGAAAAGAGCTGAGTGAATAAAGAGCACAATATCCTAGCAGTACAGGTCGGATGTCACTAACGGAGAGATCTGGCGAGAGGCAGATTACACCCCCACCGGCCCCACAGCTGGGCTCTGCAATTACCCCACAAAACACCAGTCAGAAATCACCTTGGGAGTGTGTGTGTGTGTGTGTGTGTGTGTGTGCACACGCACACGCGTGCACACGTGCACATGCACACAAAAGTCCTCTTTTTGTGTCGTTTAAATTTTCTTTGTCAAAGAAATATCTGTACAATAGCTTGAAAATCAAATGACATCAAAAGGCTTGTTTTAAAAACCCTCTGTTCCACTCCCATGCCTCGCCGCGCCCCTCTTCTCTGGGGCAAGCATTTCGAATTTTTTGAGGGATTTACCTCCATTTTTCGAAATGCGCTTGCACTATTTCCACCGTTCTTGATTTGTCCATTTCAGACATGGGCTCCTTGCTCTGCGTTGTGATGTACGAAGTTTTAGCTCTTGTCCCCCACACTCTCTGCTTGACAGAAACAAGAGTGGACTAATATTCATGGGGCCCTCACTAGGTGCCAGGCACTGTTACATTTTGGCATGGCTGGTCACCTTTTCCTCTGACACACAGTGTTCCTCACTTGGTTCCCAAGATCCCCACCTCTCGGCTCCTCCCACCTCACTGGTCACTCCCTCTCAGTCACCTTTACTGGTTCCTTCTCTTTTGACCCTGGGTAGAAGTCTTTCCACACAAGCCTCTTCTAGCTCACATGGCTTTGATGGCTACAGATCACATACCTGAGTCTACCCAAGGTCAAGAGGTCGGCAAAGGGTCAGGTGTTCTTGTTCAGGAGACAGCAGCCCAGGGCCTGCAAGGACACTTGGAACTGGGAGGAGATTTTAATCAACCACATCAGGAAGGACTGGCAGAAACGTCGGTGGCCCAAAACAGCAGGCAGATTTCAGAGAAGGTCACGGTTTCACAGTGGTCTGCGGAGCTACGCTAGGGACCTGTTTCCACACTGAGGACCTATGGCACCCGGGGCTCGATCCTGGGTCCTCTCCGTTTCTCCATCTACTCTCCCCACCATTGATGGTCTCACCAGGCTCATGGCTCCGAAATCGTCCATTCCCTAATGACTCCCAGATCTATGTCCCCAGGCCTGACCTTTACGTCCAACTCTCTTCTTGACTTAGGTGTCTAATAGACACCTCAAACTGAACACATCCTACACCAAACTCTGACTGACTGTACCAGAAGCCGCTCCCCTGCAGTCTGTCATCTCTGCTGATGACGTCATCTCTGCTATCGTTACCGTCCCACAGGAACAAAACCTGCGCACAGAGAAGACAGAGCCATTGAGAAAGTCCCCACAGCAGGTGCGGTGAAGACACTTTTTAAAACAGGCCAACGTCACCAATGTTCATAGCAGCATTATTCTTAGTAGCTCAGAAGTGAAAACTATACAAATGTCCACCGATCGGTAGAAAAGGCGGTATATCCATACAACAGAATATTACTCAGCCATGAACGGGAAGAAGCTGACACATGCTAAAACATGGATGAACCTTGTAAACATTATACTAAGTGAAAGAAGCCAGACATGAAAGGCCATATATTATATGATTCCGTTTAAATGAAATGTCCGGAATAGGCAAACGAGGCAGAAAACAGATGACTGGTGGCCAGAGGCTGGGAGGAGGGGCGAATAGAGAGGACCACTGTGGGATACAGGGCTCCTTTCTGGGATGATGACAATGGTCTATAATTAGACAGTAGCAATGGTCAAACAACCCTGTGAATATACTAAAAGCCATTGACTTGTACATTTTACAAGTGTGAATTTTATGGTATGAGAACTACATCCATAAAGTTGTTTTATTAAATGGGCTAATATTAAATTTAAATTGTATGCTGCGATTTGCTACTAAATAACTCACATTATTGTGACCTTCAGTTAAAAACTGTCACATACACAGCCCCATGTTAAGAGCCCTTTGAAGCAAATTAAGGAAAAAGGGTGATGATCTGTGTTTGGGTGAATATGGAGAAAAGCAAATAGCCACACCAGGTAAGATGCAGAGGGGAGATCGAGAATTAAGGAAGCAAAGATTAAACCAAGAAATAACTAGAAGTCTCAGACCCGTGAGGCTCCTGGGGATATTTACGGTAGGGGGTTCCAGAAGGCAGGACTTGCTAGTTTTCCCCCTGTTAAGGGCTTGGGGACTGTAGAGATATTTTCTAATGTCTTCCCTCTCTCCAGTCCCAAGTTTTGTTCAGCTGTCCACCTCCCCACCATGCCCCAGCTTCCATATATCATGGAAAGTGGGTTCTGCTGTTAGTTGGGGCAGGGTGAGGGGGGTGGGAATGGCCTCAGGCTTAAGCTAATCAGTGATGGTTCCAAGATGGATAAGTTTGTCAAGTCAGAAAGACATCCAAGACCATTGCCCCATGACTAAGGACAGGAACACTGTTTCCTGGCAATCTATCTCTGCAAAGAAAGTCTGGAAGCTGCCTTCAGCCATCTTGAGAAAATAAGGGAAGAGGCTGTCTGAAAATGGAGCCAACCTAAAGAAAGAGAACCAAGACTTAGATACTAACTATGACATATGAGCCCTGGATATAGCTGCATCTACAGCTATGACCACTTAGCCAATTAACTTCTTTTATGGGTTTTCTGTCACTTGGAACAACAAAGATCACATTTAGAGTCAGATGATTATGCTTGAGAGTCTACACACTGTGCAAAATACACCTCATTATTTCCCTATTTGTTACTCATTTCTTTATTAAAGTTTTATAAATAGGACATAAAACTTCCTGAAAATCCTACTTACAAATTATTCGTATTGGTTTCATGATAATCGATAAATATCAATAAAAGTTTCAAAAGTAAAGAAAAATATAGTTGACAAAATTCATTTGAATCTGTATTTGCCCTAAATATTTTGAAAATAGATCTCTATGGTTGACAAACCCAGATTAGAGCCAGATTAGCACCATAACTATCAACACATGGTTTCTGCAGGGGACCAGGTGCCATGTTGTTTCAGAGTTCAGTGGAATGTAAGGCGAGATGGGCCGAGCCTAGCAACTGCACTTAACTTGTAACCTACTCAAACTGCATTACTCCGCGCTCCTCAGTATCAGCCGCCAGGTGCCTTCCCATCTCAGAAACTAGCCCGGAAGCTTTTCACATGACAGGTGTCTTTGTGTCTCAAATGGAAATTACAGCAATCACTGGGAATGTTACAATCACTGCGTGAGTATACACGAGGCAGACCCAAAATAAAATGCTTGAAAAAGTGTTGAAAGTAATAGGATGAGCAAAAATCTACCAGGCAAATGAAAATAAAGGAAGAGCGAGGATCTAGTTATATATGAACCAGAATGTCCACTACAACATAATTCAGAATTGCCAAAAGATTGAAAACAACCTCAATATTCCTCAAAAGAGGACTGGTTAAATAAAATATGGTACATTAATGCAATAGAATACTATGCAGATGTTAAAATAAATGAGGTGAATATTTATGATTTTTGTGACATGAATGTATAGGATCTGTTGCTCAGTGAAAAAAGTGAGGTGCATGAAGGATGCTGGCCGCCCACACAATTACGCAGAACTCCACGGGACGGCGAACTCCAGGCAGAGGGAACTGAGTGGCTGAGGAACAAGTTTATAAGGAAAAAATCATCTGTATTCTAGGAGCCTTTACGCATTTCGAATTTTGTACCAAGTTCATTTTTACTCATTCAAAAAATAAAATAGATAATTGATTATTTTTACATTCATCAGGTTATGATCATCCATATTTATTTAACTAAGTAGCCATCAGACTCTCCCTGGGTCCCCAGCATACACCCGAGGATCAGTTCCTTACTCATAATGGTCACTTTTATTATGAAAATAAATCAAATCTTCAATGTTTTGAACATCGCTTTCTGATGAAAGAAATTTGGGTTAATGAGCCCTTAATGTCACATTTAAATTTGTGGTTGGTTATAATTATTAAAGTCATCAGAAGTGAGAAATTATTTTACCTGAAAACCATGACTATGCCTTGGTCAAGAATCCACATTATTTACTTATTCATTCGTCATTCGTTCATTCATTCATTCAGTTTTCCTATTTGTTAATTAGAATTACTTATTGGAATAAACTGTAAACCTATCCATACTTTCCACTTTTATTATCAATAGGTCACTGGAATATTAATGGTTCCAGCACAGTGGAATTCTCTCGCCCCACGTAATAGCCAGAGGCAGGCAGTGTGCTCCGCCCACATCTGAGAGCCATCAGTAACCAGAGACACAGAGTTCTCTACCACCCAGTTCCCCACTGAGTGAGTCGACCATGCCCCTCTCCCTCGCTGAGGAGCTCGTGAGCTCTCCCCATGTGGGCAAAATTTTCTCCTTAAATAATGTCTGCTAGAAAACAAAGCACTCCACCAACTATTATTATTATTATCTTATAGCATGTAGCGTCTTAAAGCCAAGAGTTTATCCTAAAAAGCCCTAGCAGGTGATAAGTAGCATTCTCCCACTTGTCCAGACGAGGCTACAGGGTGAACCTCAAGGACATTCGAGGGCATTCAGGTAACCTCACAAGCTCACCCGGCTTCCCTACCAGCACAGCACAGCCCAGCCCACCTGCCCACACACTGCTCTTGGCCCCTTTTCTTCCTTCCAGATTTACCAGCGGCTTCCTGAAAGAGACTGGTCTGCAGTTTCAACCTCAAAAAATGCATAATAGGTGCCATAGTTCATTCTAAATCCCTTCTTGCTATTTCTCACAGATCTTGGATGTTTTTGACTCTAAGATTTCGGTTGCCACTATAATATACCTACGGAGCAAGCAGGCCCATCCCATAGTTTCAAAAGTACTCAAATTTTGATAATCCTCACGTACCACAACTGTGGCTTTTTGCTTGAGTGACCATCCCCCTGCCTGGCAGCCACCGTTTCCCATGTGAGGCATTTTTAAAACTAAGTGGATGAGCTCTAGTTTCGCAGTTATCATTTTCCAACAGAAGGAAGCCCGATTCGG